TGCATGTGAGAGCTGGACAATGAATAAGGAAGACTGAACAAGAGTTGATGCTTTTGAGTTGTGGTGCTGGCAAAGAATGCTGAAAGTACCATGGACTGCTAAAAGAACTAACAGATTTGTCCTGGTGGATGTGCACCTGAAATGCTCCTTGGAAGCGAGGATGGCCAGACTTCGTCTCACCTGTTTTGGTCATGTTGTAAGAACGGACCATTCCCTGGAGAAGGATGTCATGCTTGGTAGGGTGGAGGGTCGATGAAAGAGGGGGAGGCCTTCAACAAAATGGATTGACATGGTCGCTGCGATGATGGGCTCAAGTATAGCAGGAATCATGGAGCTGGCGCGGGATTGGGCAGTGTTTCATTCTGCTGTGCATGGGGTTGCTATGAGTCGGAAACGACTTGACAGCACCTAACAACAACAACAACTTGTGAATGTGTATAGTTGTAGGTATATGCATGCAAAGAAAAAACTGGAAACACATGAAAGCATCTACATTTGAGGAAAGAAATAGAAATTGGAGAGGAAAGGGAGATTTTTGTAGTTTTGCTGTCTTTAAATTTACATACACTCTTCAGAAAACTGTGAACAGGGAAAGTGTAAATTTAGGTCTTTGTTGTTGTTGTTGTTATTTGCCCTCGAGTCGGCCCGACTCATAGCGACCCCTCCTTGGGTTTCCAAGGCAGTATCACTACGGAAATAGGATTGCCCAACCTTCCTTCCGAGGAGTGGCTGTTGGGTTTGAACCGCCAGCCTTCTGGTTAGCAGTCAAGTGCCTTAGGCACTATGCTACCAGAGCTCCCAAAGTGGTTAACAGCATAGGCCTTGGAGTGAAAATTGCCATGATTTGACTCCTGGCTCCATTACTTACTGTCTCTGCATTCTTCTACAAGTTATTTAACTTTGGTGCCTCAGTTTATTCAAATAGAGAACAGGGATAATGGGATTTATGTCATATAGTTGTTAGGAGAATTAATTAATGTCTTGAAGAGTATATCGACCAGCACCCAATACATAGTAAATATCCAGTATATATTGTGTTATTGTTAGGTGGTGTCAAGTCGCTTCTGATTCATTGGTGTTCCATGTGTCAAATCTATTCTTCAGATGGTCTCTAAATTCAGGTGGACTATAATCAAGGTCATAGCTTGGCTCTCATGGACTTGCTTTAATTGTCATCAGCTTCAACTTGAACTTGTATACAAACAATTGATGGTCTGTTCCACAGTCAGCTCCTGGCCTTGTTTTGCCTAAAGATGTTGAGCTTCTCCATCGCCTCTTTCCACAGATGTATTCAATTTGATTCTTGTGCACTCCATCTGGTGAAGTCTACTTTATAGCCGCCATTTATTTTGTTGAAGAAAGGTATTTGCAATGAATAAATCGTTGGTCTTGCAAAATTCTGCCATCGATCTCCAGCATTATTTCTTTCACCAAGGCCATATTTTCCAACTACCAATGCCGCTTCTTTGTTTCTGCCTTTCACATTCCAGTCACCAATAATCATCAATACATCATGATTGCATGTTTGGTCAATTTCAGACCACAGAAGTTGGTAAAACTCTTCAATTTCCTTGTCTTTGGCTTAAGTAGTTGAAACGTAAATTAGAAAAATCTGAAAAAGAAAAAAAAAATCACTCCCCCTCCTTGGGTTTCTGAGGCAGTATCTCTACGAAAGTAGATTGCCCAATCTTCCTTCCGAGGAATGACTGGTAGGTTTGAACCACCAGCCTTCTGGTTAGCAGTCGAATGGCTTAGGCACTATGCCACCAGAGCTCCTAAATTAGAATAATAGTAGTTAGTATTAACTGGTCTTCCTTGTAGGTATGTGGATATTATCCTATCCCAGACAGTATTGTACTTCAGAATAGATCTTAAAATGTTCTTTTTGACAATGAATGTGATGCTGTTACTCTTCAGTTTGTCATTCCCAGCATAGTAGATCCTGTGATTGTCTGACACAATACCAGTATCTTTCAGCTAACTAATGCCTAGAATATTGATCTTTATGCCTTTGATTTCATTTTTGACAACTTCCAATTTTCCTAGATTCAAATTTTTCACATTTTACCTTCCTATTATTAATGAAGGAGCTCTGGTAGCATAAGTGGCTAAAGCACTTGACTGCTAACCAGAAGGCTGGCGGTTCAAACCCACCAGCCACTCCTCGGAAGGAAGGTTGGGCAATCCTACTTCAGTAGTGATACTGCCTCGGAAACCCAAGGAGGGGTCGCTATGAGTCGGGGCCGACTCGACGGCACATAACAACAACAACAACAACAATTATTAATGAATGTTTGCAGCTGTTTCTTTCTATTTTGAGTCATGCCCCATCAGCAAATGAGGTTCTCAAAAGCTTTACTCTATCTATGTCATTAAGGTGGACTCCCCTTTGAGGAAACAGCTGTTCCCCAGTAGTGTTTTGAGTGTCTTCTGACCCGAGGGGCTCATCTTATGGCACTGTATCAGATAGTGTTTCACTGCTATTCATAGGTTTTCAGTAGCCAGGTTTTCAGAAGTGGACTACCATGTCCTTCTTCCTAGTCTGTCTTATTCTGGAAGCTGTGCTGAAACCTCTCCATCCTGGGTGACCCTGCTGGTATTTGAAATACCAGTGGCATAGCTTCCACCATCACAACAACATGCAAGCCATCACAGTACAACAAACTGACAGATGAGTGGTGGCCAGTATACATTAGTTATTATACATATAATACTTAGACAGCTTTTAGCTGTTAGCAGTACTCTATATAAACTTCCCAGTTAAAGAGGTTTTCAGTGACAGCTTTAATAATCACAATGCATTTTCTCAAAGTTTCATTGCAGTTGTTAATGATATTTTTTCATATTTTTACCCCAGTGGTATTCAGGATTTCAAAAGGAACAAACAAATTAACTTGTTTTGTATAACATGTTATACATTCAGCCTGTGGAATGTTCCTGAATTTGCCTCCTTGACTATGTAATCTTATGTATACTTCATTATTCACCTATAGAAATGTAAGCTGTAAATAATGACATGTTTCTTTCTTCCTTAGGAAGACTATGATCGTCTGAGACCTTTATCTTATCCTATGACTGATGTCTTCCTTATATGCTTCTCTGTGGTAAATCCAGCCTCATTCCAAAATGTGAAAGAGGAGTGGGTACCAGAACTTAAGGAATATGCACCAAATGTACCCTTTTTATTGATAGGAACTCAGGTATGTCTGCTTTGCTTTTACCCATTTAAGGATAATCTCTGTGGCCTATCTTAAGGGGGGAGGGGATGGTTTCAGAGAAATGGCCTTAAGATTTAGCAAAATAATACAAGCATTTTATTTCAGTTGATTATTAGGCAAAAGGTTAGAGGTTCATACCCAGCCAGAGGCACATAGGAAGACAGACCTGGCAATCTGCTTCTGAAAGGCCACAGCCTTGAAACCCCCTGGAACAGTTCTACTCTGCACACACATGGGTGCCATGAATCATACTTGACAGCGACTAACAACAACAACATAGTAGTTTTGGAAAAATAGTGCCCAAAGAAGGCAACTATATATTAATTAATTTTAAAAGCTATTTATTTATATGTAGGGATGAAATGGGAATGTGTGCTTTGATTTATCTTTAAAGCTTATAATATTACGGGACATTATTGACCTTTCTTAATTAGATTGATCTCCGAGATGACCCCAAAACTTTAGCAAGACTGAATGATATGAAAGAAAAGCCTATATGTGTGGAACAAGGACAGAAACTAGCAAAAGAGGTAAATGGAACATCTGCAGAATTTAGAAATAAATGTAAAAGAAGTTAAGATAGTAATAGAAGCCTAGCATTTATTGTGCATTGACTGTAGCCAAGCCCAGTGCTGTGTGCTTTATATGTGTCACCTCTCTTAAGCCTTACACCAACTGTGAGATAGATCTGTGTCCCCCACTTTCCAGAATGGGAAAAAGGTAGCTTGCCAACGATAATAAATGGCAGAGCTGGATTTCAGTGCAGGACTGACTTCAGGGCCCAGACTCTTGCATAGCTGTGCTAGACTACTGTCTCCATTTCCTAGTGCTGCTATAATATAAATACCACATGGTACAGTGGTTAAACACTTGGCTGGTAACTGAAACAGTAGGGGTTTGAACCTACCAGCCACTCCATGAGAAAAAGATGTGGCATTCTGTTATTGTAAAGATTATAGCCTTGGAAGCCCTAAGGGTGGTCTGCTCTGTCCTACAGAATCACTATGAGTTGGAATCGCCTAGACAGCAGAGAGCAGTGGGTTGGGTTTGGGTTTGGGATGGTACTAAAGAGCAGAAATGTGGGGTTTTTTTCGTACTTCTGGAGGCTAAAAGTCCACATCAGGGTTCGTAGTCCAGGGTGTTCCTTGATTCCGTACAGATCCTCATATGTTCATAAGTCTTCTCCTGTGTTTGTGTGTGTGTGTCTCTGTCAAATCTGCTTTTTTAAAAAAATTAATAATAATAACTCAAATGATTACATTTAGTACTACCCTATGATCTAAATAACAACAAAGAAAACCCTATCCTTAAATAGGTTTCCATCCACAGGTATAGGGCTTAGGATTCCTGTACATTTTGGGATGATCAATTCAATTCACAACTGCCAACATTTTCCTGAAAATGTAGAGAAAGAGGCATCAGAAAACAGTACTGGTACTCTCAGCCTTTTCTAATCCCGTAAACGTTTGTACTGTGCCAAGTCAGGCTCTGTCTTCAGTTAAGAGTATGGAGTTAGTGGTGGAGTATCAGAGGATCCAGTTTAAATCTGTGGTTGAAAACAAAGAATTATGCTAGGTTTGAAAAGAAATGTTTGCATTTTCTTCCAATCCTTTTATGAAAGGAGGATGGAAAATATTAGCAATCTAAAAGTAAACATTCTATATAACAGTGATGTGTAATACTTTTTCATTTATATTCTCCCTTGCCCTACAGCTAGCTTGACCTGCTTGCTTTTTTTCTCCATTTGGCCCTAACATTATTGGATTCTATTTTTCAAATGTTGTGACTTTAATAGGACTTTTGTGGAAACAGAATCTAATGAGGTCTTTTTCAGCGTACTATCAGGAGGGAGAAGAAAGTAAGAAAATATTCCAGAGGACAATTTTTCCTAAAAGCAAAGGATAAATAGCTTCACTAACAACCACTTTAGGAATTCCATATGTTCAAATTTGTAATCTTGGGGAAGGGACTCTCTAAACATGTCATAAAATTATTGATGATTTAACTACAGAAAAGTTTAATACCCCCTCAAATGCTTCAAATAAAATCAAAAGTCATATAACAAACTTGACATGTATGGCAGAAAAAAAATATCCTTAGTATACAGGAACCTCTTGCATATGGATGAATCAGAAAAGACATAGGCCAATAGAAAGTGGGCTAGGATCACCAATGGAAAATTCAGTGCCCTCCCCCCAAAATTCAAATTGCTATCCAAAAACCAAGCTTACTGCCATTGAGTCATTTCTGACTCATAGCAACCCCCATTGGGTGTCTGAGGCTGTAAATCTTTACAGAAGTAGATCGTCCCATCTTCCTTCTGTCAAATTGCCATAGAGGACAGAAAATATGTTTAAACTCATTAATAGTCAGCTATAAGTTAAATTTTTTTCACTTATAAAATTGGTAAATGATGAAAAATTAATTATAATATGTACCCTTACACAGGATATCAGGGAATGGGCTCTCTACTAGACCATGGTGGTTGAATAGAGCAATCTTGTTGGGCATTTTGGCAATATGCAAAACCCTTAAAATCATAACATACTGCTTGAGCAAGCAATTCCACATGGAAGAATTTATTTTCTAGAAAATTATTTAGGATGTGATTAAAAAGATGGCTGCAAGTCTGCGGCACTGTTTATAATGGCAGTAAAATCCTGCATCTGTTAAAAATGTATACTAATAGGCTTCTACTGATATATCGATATTAAGTATACTGATATATCTGAGGAGTTCTGGTGGCATAGTGCCTAAGGCATTTGACTGCTAACCAGAAGGTTGGCACTTCAAACCCACCAGCCACTTGGCAGAAGGAAGACTGGGCAATCTACTTCCGTAGAGATACCACCTTGCAAATCCAAAGGGGGGTTGCTTGCTATGAGTCAGAGTTGACTTCATGGCAGTGAGTGTGTTTTTTTTTTTTTTTTTTTTTAATATATCTATTGAGGTGTTTATCATGTAGTTTAAAAACAGAAGGTGATTGCAAAGCAGTGTGATCCCATTTCTAGACCTGTCAGCAGCACTTGGCACAGCCAGTTCATTCTTAGACTACTTTTTTCACTTGGTTTCCAGGCACCAAACCAAAAAAACAAACCCACTGCCATTGAGTCGATTCTGACTCATAACGACCCCCATAGGGTTTCCAAGGCTGTAAATCTTTATGGAAGCAGACTGCCTTGTCTTTCTCCCATGGAGCTGCTGGTGGGTTCAAACTGCCAACCTTTTGGTTAGTAGCCCAGTGCCTTAACCATGGTACCACCAGAGCTCCTTGGTTTCTATGCACACCTGTCTTGTTTCCTCCTGTTCATTGCCTCTCCTCCACCTCCACATCTCCGCATATGTCTCTGAATGTTGAAGGGCTCTAGGGATCATTGCTCAGCAACTTGGACATCTTTTCTTATATATCCATACTCACTCCTAGGTGAATTCTTTCAGTCTTAATGACTTGTACTAATGAAGATTCCTAAATGTGTATCTTTAGCTCAGGTCTCTGCCCTAAACTCTAGACTTTGTTAGCCTACTGTTAATTCAACAAACCCATCTGAGTGGCTTAGCACCTCAAAATTAACTTGTCCAAAAGTAGAATTTTTAATTTTACCCTTCAAGCCTATACTTCTAGTTACTCAAGTCAAAAACCTTGAAGTCATACTTGACCTCATTTTTCCTTTCGTAACATACATCTGATCCTTTAGAAAAAGATACTGTTCTACCTTAGATTATATCCAGAATCCAAGTACTTATCACCAATCGCTCCTCTGTCACGCTGGTCCAGGCACCCTCCATCTCTGGCCCAGATTACTAGAACAGCTTCAAACTCATCTCTCTGCTTCTTTCTGTGCCCCACAATAATCTCTTCTCAACGCAGCAGCCAGATTGAGTTCTTTAACATGCAAACCCATTCAAGTCACTTAGCTCTGCTCAGAAGCCTCCAGTGGTTTCCAGCTCACCCAGAGTAAAGGCCAAGTCCTCACCTTGGCTTGTAGGCCCTATGTGATCTGGCCCTTGATACTTCTGACTCTAACTCTTTCTAGTCTCACCTCATTCATGGTACTCCAGACACACTGGCCTCCTTGCTGTTTCCCCAAACTCTCCCACCCTAGGGTCTTTTTAATTAATTTATTTGTTTTTTAATTTTTCATTGTGATTTGGGTGCAGAGTTACAAAGCAGATTCGTTTTACTCTCAACAGTTCATGAGCAATTGGTTTCATGGCTCCTATTATAATCCCAACAGTAAAAAGCTCTCCTCCCTGTGAGTACCTTCTTTGTGCCCTTCTTGTCTATGCATTCCTATCTGTCCAACTTGCCCTCTGTGCAAATGCTGTGCTTCTCATGTCTCACAGTTGATTGATCCAAGGGGTCCATCTCCCTAGGGTAGGTGGGTGCATCTCCCTGGGGTAGGCATTCTGCTCATAGGCCTTTCTGCTGTTTGGCTGAGAGCTAATCCATGGAAGTAAGTCCAGTTCCAGGCCTGAAGGATAACCCAGGGCCATAGTCTCGGGCTTCCACTAGTCTCTATCTGACCAGTAATTCTGGTCATTTTTGTGTTTTTGAATTTTGTTCTACGTTTAGTCTTCTCCTCTATCCAGGATCTCCAGTTTTGATCCCTTTCTGACTGGTAGGCATTGGTAGCTGGGCACTATCTAGTTCTTCTGGTCTCAGAGTCATGAAGGCTAAGGTCCTTCATGGTCCCTCATATCCTTGGACTAATTGTTTTCATATGACTTTGATTTTTTTCACTCTTCATTACACCAGATGAGGAGAGATCAGTAGTTCATCTTAGATGACCATTCAAAAGCTTTTAAGACCCCAGTCATTACTCACCAAAGTAGGATATAGAACAAGATTTTTATGTACTGTGTTGTGCCAATTGAGCTTGATGTCCCCCAAGACTGTGGTCCCGAGTCTGTAGGCCTGGTGACTCTCTCCTTCAGGGTGCTTGGTTGTCACTGAGAAGTTACTCCAACCCTGTCCCCTGTTGCTTCTGTAATGTATATGGATACATTTGTAGCACTAATACACATATAAGAATATCTCCAGCCAAATCTATCCATGGTCATGGGTATATTCCTATTTACCTGCCCACAACTGATCTTATCTGTGTATGCATTTACCCATAGACTACTGTTTGCTGTCACTGGTAATGCAGTATCGTGCATGTAATAGTATTTGCCTCTGTTGTCTATATATTTTTTTTTTTTGCTTTTGAAATACAACCCACCCCCCCCACCCCACCCCCACACACACATTGTGATTTGGCTGAAAGTTTACAGGGCAAAGTCATTTTCTGTACAGCAGTTCGCATGCACTTGTCTCATGACATTGACTGCAATTTCCCACAATGCAACAGTTCCCCTTCCACTTCCTTCCCATAGTTAACCTCTTTCCTGTGTCCTTCCCTCCCTTGTATTCCTGCCCCCTCAGTGGTCTCCCTCTGCATACACTGCCTTTCTATTCTTCTATGATTGATCTCTCCAAGGAGTGTATTTGCCTAATGTAAATGTTCAGCTTACATGCCTGTCTTTTGTT